TAGGTTATCTGGTAAACATCTTAACTCTTGCAGGCCCCCTCCTTTTTCCTGTAACTGGAGCCAGAGTCTGATAATGTTTTTCTTCAGCACACGAGTGCTGGAATGATTTTATCTATTTGGGCCACATGACTTTTTGGCAGAACAATATATTTACCTTTGGAAGGGGTTCCTTTATAAACAGACATCAGGTATTAAGCATGTGTTTATTCAAACATAGCAACCAGGCCTAAGTGAACTCTCTAAATGAAAAGGATGATAATCTTTTAATATATCTCAGAGCCACAGCCGTTTATTCACTGTCATCAGTAGCCCTGCTTACCTGCTTGCACATTCATGGCAGGCTACACTGTGGATAGAGGGCTGTAGTGATAGAGAGCAAGGGGAAGGACCTGTATGATTGTGTAACTTTACAGGGAAGGTCCACAGTTTTCTCAGAACTCACAACTGCAGCTACTGATCACCTGCTATATCCAGTCTAGACTTTCTGCAGATGCTTCCATCTCGGGAAGCACACTTCATTTCCCCAGGAAGTCTAGTCAAAATATTCTGGTTCACTGATTATTTTCAGTAAGTTCTGGTGGGGTGTTGCATCTAACCAGAGTCTACACTAATATTGATGCTGCTTCCACAACATCCCATCAGCAACTATCTGATCATACTCTTCGAGTTCTTGGTTGTGGTCATTCTATGCGTATTGCTCCAATATCCATAATAATATAAGCCATCTATATAAAGCTCACATTCATCTATGTTTTAATCTTTTCTGAAATGTTATGGGGCCTAAGTTGGTTTGGGAAAAGCTGTCACCTCGTCCCCATTCCTCCCCTTTAGCCCACCATCCATATCTCTCTTCCTCCCTTTCAGCCCATTATCATCACCACCCCTCTTCATTTTATCTGTATCATTCCTACTTTCTATCCCATTCTTTATTTGCTGGGGGCTATCCACAAGAATGTACCTCCTCCCTTATTTTTATAGTTCTCCTCAGATGACCTAATCGTCATTTACAGTGTCTCTATGCTTTTAACCCTTTCCTTCACTGAACCTTTGAGCTCATATCTTTGTGAAATGGTGTAAAATAATGTTTTTTCATGACTAATGTACTAATGTTTCTTTATATATTCCAATGTATTCTCTATTCTAAAATCATTATTTGTGTAAAGACATAAATAACAAATGACAAATGCAGTAATCTTATCTTATGAATATTTTCCAAATCAAACTAAAACTTCAATTAGTCAAACTCATGTCACTTATTTTATAACTTTTTTTTATTAGTCCAAATGTATTTTTTTTTTTAAGATTTAAATTACAGTTAGTTGGCTATTTTTTAAATCTGAAGTAGGAAAATAATCCAATTACAAGGTAAAAAGTCTTAGAAAATATATTCCATCATTTGAACAGCAGGCTGTTTTAAATAAAATATATTAGAATATAATTAAAAAAAAAAGGCATGAAAGTGTGACTGAATTATTTGTATTAATTGAACATAAAAAACTAACCTTAGTCTCTTCACTTTGCAGATTGAACTCTCCAGTATCTCACACAGATGCTTCATTCCAGAGTCTCCAAATGATCCTCGTCCATCGATCTGATCTATTTCCAGATCAGTCAGATCAAGATTGGACTTCAGAGCTGAGGCCACAATTTCACAGTCAGCCCTTGAAAGTCTACAGCCACCAAGTCTGTGATTAGAGGAAAAATTAAGTCAGTACTGATGAAATCAAAAAACCTGGATGATAAACAAAGACTAAAACATGATGGGCAAACAGAGATGTCATCATCTGATTAACATCTGCTCTCCAGATCAATGTCTCTCAATGACCACAGAGAATCTCTTCAGGTCCAGGTTCAGCTGCAGACCTGCTGTGTCTCTGCTTTGGTTAGAAGCTCCATTGAACCACAGTGATGGAGAAAAACAGAGAAGCCGAGCAACAGGTTGAAGCACTTCAGG